GCTGCCACAGTCGAGTTGTTCTTTAATTTGTCTTGGTTTGCTGATAATTGGTGCTAGTTTTCAGTAAGTGGATTTTGTTTATAGCTTTGCCCTGTATAAGGCAGAGGGAGATGCATGTCATTTACAATTTTCTTCCGCCTGTCTAATACTTATATAGTGATAGTTACAGTGTCTGTATTTTCCAAGAGGCCAGATATGTTTGGTCTCAGCTGGGAAATTTCACGCTGTCAGATCCATTGGATAGTAATAGTTGTAACAGAAAAAAATGGCATAGTTGAGGCATCCTTGGTACTCTTACATGTATTTTTTAATATTAGGTTTTGAAATGAAGATTCATGATTCATTGTAAATCAATGTAGTTCTGGTTTTCATCCAGTAAACTCACTCATTTGCATGACTTTACTTTCAAGAAAATTGCACATTGTAATTTGAGAAATCCCAGTTTCGTTTGGTTGAGGCGAGAGATTTCACCTGAGTTTCATTTCTCAAGCAAAAGTGGTTAAGTGACAAGAAAAGTCCAGAATGACCGTATTCAATTTACTAATGCTTTACATAATTAATTATTTGATTTCATTTCATCTCCCACTCATCTTTTCAGGAATGTAGTAATCTGTTCTTCATGTGTACATGAGGTGTTGTTCTGTCATTAAAAAACCCCAAAAAAACAAAAAAAAAGTTAAAACGAGGGTTGTGATTTGGATATAATTAGCATTTACCACTCGTTGAAAAGGTTGGGGACTCGTGCAGTAATATTTGGATTTTTATTTAGCATTCACTTGAAATTGCAACTTATTTTTATCAGGTCTGGATTGTCAACTATTAAGTTATTATGATCTGGGCGGTCTTCACTAAATCTGTTATATTAATACTAGTGCGTATGTTAAACTGAGTTCAGGATGAAAGAGAGCTGAAAAGACAAAGAAGAAAGCAGTCAAACAGGGAATCTGCTCGTCGATCGAGATTGAGAAAGCAGGTAACTGTTAATTCCCTCCGTTTTAATTTTTGTTATGAATTTTTGGCATCCCATTATATTTTAATCGGGTCTTGTTCTCCATGAAATTCAGGCAGAATGTGATGAACTGGCCCAGCGTGCTGAAACTTTGAAAGAAGAAAATGCATCTCTCAGGGCAGAGGTGGCTCGCATAAGGAGCGAATGCGAGCAACTTCTTGCTCAGAATTCCTCTTTGAAGGTATTGCTCAAATTCGAGTCCAACCAATGGGTTCTTGGTTGTATCAGTAAATATTATGTTTATTTTTTAAGTATACTATTCCCTCTTTCTATCAGACTACAGAAGTTTTTGGATAGTGCAGGACTGGGCACTCCCTTTTCCTTTTAAATTGTAATTATTTATTTAATTTAATATAATTTTAAGCACGATACATTTTGTTGTACAGGAGAGACTTGGTGAACTTCCTGGTCAAGATGGTTCAAGATGCAGTCGTGATGATCAGCAAAACGATGCTCCAAATTGAGATCTATGTCTCGAGCTAACCCGTAATTTACATAGCACGTAGTTATATAATTCATCGATACTGACCAATTTAGCCTCAGGCATTGTGTGTGGAATGCCACCTGTCGTTCTTGTCTCGGCCAGTCTTTTATGGCCTGGGGAAGAAGACAACTGGGTTTGTAGAGAGCTGGTAATTGTGTGGTTTACCCTCAGTTTATATTAAAAGTGAGGTATTGCCATAATTCTTATCAATTTGTATTGTTATCAGATATTGTTGGATGAATGGGAAATATTTGGGGAGATCACCTAATATGTATCACAATATGCATCTTTTGATTGGCACAATTCAGATATATGATAGGATGCTCCCTTCATAATTTATGGCATAATTCTGTTTTCTCACAAGAAGCCAGAGGATGCTGAGACTGAGACTTGATTACAAGCTTCTTTTCAACAGCGTTCGTCAGAGACAATGTGGAAAAACATAACATAGAAAACAGTACTACATTCGATAAGAACATTCCTAAAAGCGAGATAAAACACGTTCCCATAATCTCATGCACGTCTAAAAAGAGACGCAACCCCATAGAGAGCCACTGCAAGAAGTGCAGAAGATATCGTGACCCTACTCGGCATTCTCCCATTATCACGTCTCAAAACCATGGCTTCATAGATTGGCAAAGCATTCACGACCCCAAAACCTGCAATAAAAATCTGTACGAAAAAAGTACCAAAGCTCTCGTCCACAAAAGTACGCGCAAACCCACAAACAAAAGCGACCAGATTTATAATAGTTGCAGTTGCTAGTGGGACAAACATGGGTGACGCAACTCCAAACTCGAAGATTCCTTGGTCGTATCTTTTGCTTAGCTCGTCGTCTAAGACTTTGTCTGTCAAGTGGAACCCACTTGAAGCCAAGCTTAGAAGGTTGGTCACGTACTCTATGAACCCAAATAGGTAACTCGAGAGTCCCCTCAATAGCCAGTTCCTTTGGTCGCTCCACCACGTTAGTAACGTGCCTTGTGTGAAGATGAAATCAAAGCAGTCTTGCGTGTAGGATCCGATGAATAGAAATAAATACAATAAAAACGTAGGCTCGTCCACCTAAGTAATAGACAGATGAGTTAGTAGATTTTTCGGACCGTGCATTAACACGAACGACAGTGATATTTCGTTTACGGTATGTTTACTATTATAGTGGGATCTCTTTTTTATGCAGGTCTAATAGTAAGATGAACGTACAATTTTCATAAATAATATGAATCGCAAGAGATCACTAAATAAATATTGGTATTTGTGGTCTTAATGAAGTATTGAGAGTATTTTTCTGTTTAATTTGGAATTGATGTGATCTTAAAGTTTTTATCTTTACCTTTGGGAAAATGGGAATTCCATGGAGAAGGGTGAGTGAGGGGATGAAGGCGTAGACAGTTATAGGGAATGCCCAAATGGGCCAGAAGGCGTAGTGTGCGTAAGATTGGCCCATCAAGATTCCCATAGACTTTATGCCAAATGTTAATGGGCTGTACTTGGAAAAGGCTACCTCCAGAAGCCCAATAGACCACCTTCTATTCTGGTTTAGGACATTAAGAAGAGAGATCGGCACATCGCCCAAAAATGCAGGCCTGCTTGGATTACAAAATATGGACTGCCAGCCCTCACATTGAAGTCGATAGCCCGTATAATAATCCTCCACCAACGACCCATATCGGAAGCCTAGCTGCAATACGACAAAATCAAATTTATTAATTACTAGCTTTTAACCCGTGCATTTGCACGGAAAATAATATAATAGAACAAAAAATAATAAAAATATATAAACAATAGTAAAAATCATAATATAATCATTAGAAAAATGTTCTAAGAAATAATAACTAAATATTGTTAAATAATTTTTTATATACAACGTTTGTGGTTTTTCTATCAACAGAATTTTCATCACTACAAATCATATCTTCAAATTAAGACATATAATGGTTTTAATTGTCTAAATAATCATTGTATTTTGTACTATAGATCATATAGGAAATTTAAAAAAAAATACTAAAAAAATACCAGCAAAATATTACAAAATAAATAATTGTATTTGGTTGATAAATAATGATATGTGGCAAATATCTAAGACATTTGAACAAAATGACAATTTTTAGGCCATAAAGAAATATATTGATTGAATGATAAAAAAAAAGCCCAAATTAGAAGTCCACTTAATTTTTTAGGGTAGCCAAAATCAAATATAAAACAGGTCAGTGATAACATGACTATAAATAGAGATAAACTCCTTGAGAGTGATGTAAGCCGTTTTTTTTTTTGTTGTTGTCGGCGCTTCTCTCGTTATTCACTCTATCTGAAACCCTAATCCTTAACCCGATATTACGAAAAACTCGGCAAGATTCAATACAAAACAACTGTTTTACCGGAGATTTTCTCCCGGTAAAGGCTTAAAAAATTTTAAAAAAAAAAGACATCCGAAAAATGTTGTTTTTGTGACCAACAGTAGTGATCGAAAAATAAAATATTCGTCCCGATTTCTTAATCTGTGTTGCTAAATCTTAACAGGTCGGTCAAAATCGGGCAATAATATTACAAATCTATGATGAGCTGAAATATTTTTTGTTAAACGTAGTTTTTATTTTTTATTATTTTCAATGATCTGTGTCGTTTTTCGAAATTCTTTGTGAATAAGCTTCAAGATATATTATATTTTATACATAATTCGAAATTATTTAGATGTTTTTCAAAATCGTTTTTCGAAGAGAACATGACATTGGTCGAACTTTTTCAAACTTTTATGATTTTGTTCAGGGTTTGAAAAAATATGTAAGTTTCTAACAGATATGTTCAGCTCTACTAACAAATATATATGTAAGTTTATAACATATCTGTTCATATCTTTTTATAACATACATATGTAACTTTTATGTATTTTGTTCAGATTTTGAAAACTAAATAGTTCAATTCTTTGTCGTCTTTCTCATCATATCAGTAAGTGAAGCTTTGCTAACACTTGTTCAAAATCGCTTTTCGAAGTTATTCAAAGTCTTTTGCCGAAGTTTTTCAAATTTTTTAGTATTTTGTTCAAAATTTGGAAATATTAGGTAAGTTTATAACAAATCTGTTTAGATATATTTATCGCATATTAGGAATTTCTTGTTTAATATTTAAAAAAATCTGTAGGAATTTTTATTTTTAAAACTTTTACGCAAAAAAAAATCGATTTTAATATAAAGGCAGATGTCTTGGTAAAAGTTGAATATGTTGATAATGATAGAGAAATCAAATTATTTTTCTTTCTATATTGTATAGTGTTCAATAATGTTCCACATAATTTGCTGTGTTTTTAATTTTGATTTTTTCATATAGATTTGACTTTTTTTTGTTTATTATTAATTATGGTTGATATTTCTATATTATACAACAATCTGCCATTACATACAATACCTTGTCAATTCTCATTCTTTGACTTTGCCAATTTCCGTTTAATATGACTTTTCTGTTGCTGAAAGTATGTTTTTAATGCATTAAAATATTGATGTTTTAGATATGTTTTGATGCTATAATGATGCAGAAATTTGTCCCGCCACTTTTTTCTTAAAAAGGCATTGTTTAATGAAAATTAATCATTTTTATATTTATAATTTTGAAATAATGTTTTTTTTTTTCACGGCCAACAGTTATTTTGTTTTAATGAAAAATATGAGACAATTAATTCAAGACACTTTTTAATTTATAAAAAAAGAATGTTGATTGCGATAATCAAATATGCAGAAATCATGCATTTTATTGAATAGTAGTAATATAAAATATTTTATTATTACTACCAAATAGAAAGTCAAAGAATGTTAATTTTGCACTATTAATTATGATCATATGGATTTATTTTATACATATGTTTTTTCAATGAACTTTTTAAATGATAATATTGACAATATAGACTTTAATATAATAATTATATAGACTGTGTTATAATAAAAAATTATTTATTTAATTCATAATTCATCTTATTATGCGTATAGTCTAAGTTTATAAATTATATGTCATTTAAATGTATCTATACTACTAATTTATAAGGTTTTACCATTTGGGGAGCTAAATGTTTAATTTTAATAATGAAACTAATCTTTCTTATCATTTTGTAGTTATATATTTGATTGAGTATGGCTGAAAATTAAATTACAAAAAAAATAATTTCATTTTTTATATTGTAATGTAACATGATATGTATTATAATGTTTGTAATTAATACATTTATTAATATTTCTTATAACTTTAATTGTTTATTCAATTCATAATGAAATAAAAAATAATAATATATAGTTTCTGCACAACAATAATGACTGTCACGTTTATATATATAAATGAGAATAAGAAACATAAATGTGGGATTAACTAAAAGAAACTTTTTTAATTTAGTCATTAACTAATTAAGTTTAACTAAAAGAAACCTTCTTAAATGTGAGATTAATGAGTAATTAATTAAAAAAATGTAACTTCTTTTGGAGGGAAAATAAAAATGTTTTTATTAAATGTTTTATTAAATGAGGTTAGCTAGCAATTATATATATATAGATTGCAACATCAAAAAATGAAGTATCATTTTTCTAAAAAAAATAATAATAATTTGATTACCATGGAACCCCATTTTGTTTGGTTCTCATAAGTGCATCCGGCAACACGATGGGCCAGCTTCAAAACTTCCTCACTATCAATAGGCTTTCCTACAACGCAGTCTGGGCCCAACTCTGGAATTTCTGGTTGTATGTACTTTGATGGGCTGCCAAAGAAAATGCGACGTCGGAAAAAGCAGCCAGTCCCAACGTAACTAGGCCCATTTAGCCCATCCATGCCAATTGGGTTACATAGAAACAAGCGCTTGTGCTCACTAGAATATATGTCAGCCTTGTTTAACCCACAAAAACGTTGTGGAAATTGGACGTACCCACAATTGGGCCTGCAGGATTTATCTAGAAGATAACACAAGGCTCTTTGGACCGTTTGAGGGTCATTCGAATACATATCACAGTCCAATGTCAAAATTATTGGCGAGTTGGTCATACTAGCGGAAACTCGGAGCNAAAATAATAAGAAAATCAATCTCATATCTCAAGATTTATTAATTAAATGCTCCTTAATATTATGAATAAAACGAAAACTCGATCAAATACTTGTTATTTTAGGCCACACACAAAAACCAAGAGGATGACAAAATAAGTGGGGTGGTTACCAAAGTGTTAAGGGCTCCGGCCTTGAAATGATGTGGGCTTTTTGGACTCTTCTGTCTGGATACGTAGATGAGATTAGGCATGGGCTCACCTCTAACATCTCTATCACTTTTGGAGTCCAATAAGATATTAATTATAGATGGATGGTTTTGGCGGGTAAAATCTTTGGCCCAATATTGTTCCAATACTCTTCGCTCATCTTCACTTGTAATATATTCCTCACATACTTTACCTCTTTCCACCACATTCTCCACTTTCATCTTCATGTTCTCATACATCATCTGCAAAAATGTTAGCCATTTATTAATATAATGCGATGAAATTACATGTATTCACAAAAGTCGTGGATGGGGTTTTAGCCATTTATTAAATAAAATATATATAAAATGGTCATTTGTATTGGATCTTAATAAATATAAAAATAGTTATAAATACAATTTCCACGAAACAATTACTATTTATCATATTTTTACCTTCAAAAGAACATAAGTTACTTGTACCCATAAAAAAAATATTAATAGTTGATCAGATCATTCTTTTTTCCATATTAAAAATAAAATAAATTGCATTGTCCGTGGCCTAAATAGTTTTTTATTATATTATTTTGTTTTCATGTGCATAATGGTTGAGGGAATCAAACAGGTGATCTAATTGTGGTCGGTGTTACAGTCTTTTAAGTCAATTGGGGTGTGTGACTGTGTGTAGCGCCGTAATAAGGCCTCAGTATTTGGAAAACTGGAAATATCATAATATTAGGGACCGCGTTACAATAATTATGTTTGGACCACAATAGGTTGATCTTCTCCATCAATTTTATTATTATTTATTTTATCTGGGATGTGGACTACCTTTGTTGTTTAGTGTAGACTTTATAGAACGTGATAAAAATAATAAATTGGTCAATTTTTGGGGGTGAAATTTTCATATTTATTTATGATATACGATAAATATCTTTTGCCAGCGTCGTTGATTTTAAATTTGTCTGCAAATATCTTTGAAACATATTTTTAAACATAAAAGTTTTATTTAAAAAAAATATTAATACTTAGTAGTTAGTGCTGAATAAAATACTCAAACTAATAGGGCTAATATAGAAAATAAATGTTTTCAATGATTGTCCGGACCCCGACATATGAAACCCACCATGTGACGAATCAGTGATCATTTGATAATATGTACTAACAAATTGTTTTGTAGAAACTAGAAACTCGTGCCATTTTTTTTGGGTGTTACTATTCACCGCCCCCTTTTACTACTCACCGCCCCCCTTGGACAATTTTGCCCTTCTCATTTTTTCTAAACATATCAGACAATTTATGAAAAAATACGTGTCCGGCCGCCGGTTCCGGAGAGCTTAAAGCCCGTCCGGAGCCGGCGTCCGGACGGCTTAAAGACCGTCCGGAACCGGCGTCCGGACGGTTCAAAGACCGTCCGGAAAGCATGGCCGGTCGGACCGGCCGTGTCCGGACAGGCCGGCCGGACGGCAAGAAAGCCGTTCGGAACCGACGGCCGGTCGGAACCGGTCCGTCCGGTTCGGCCGGCCGGCCGGCAATTTTTTTTT